CATGGTCAGCAGGTCAGTAACACGTGGTCAGCAGGTCAGTAACAAGTGGTCAGCAGGTCAGTAACACATGGTCAGCAGGTCAGTAATACTTTGTCAGTAGGCCAGTAACACTTGGTCAGAAGGTCAGTAACGCGTGGTCAGAAGGTCAGTAACAGGTGGTCAGCAGGTCGGTAATACTTTATCAAAAGGCCAGTAACACTTGGTCAGCAGGTCAGTAACACATGGTCAGCAGGCCAGTAACACTTGGTCAGCAGGTCAGTAACACATGGTCAGCAGGTCAGTAACACGTGGTCAGCAGGTCGGTAATACTTTGTCAGAAGGTCAGTAACACCTGGTCAGCAGATCAGCAACACCTGGTCAGAAGGTCAGTAACACGTGGTCAGCAGGTCAGTAACAGGTGGTCAGCAGGTCAGTAATACTTTGTCAGAAGGTCAGTAACAGGTGGTCAGCAGGTCAGTAACACATGGTCAGCAGGTCAGTAACACGTGGTCAGCAGGTCGGTAATACTTTGTCAGAAGGTCAGTAACACGTGGTCAGAAGGTCAGTAACACGTGGTCAGCAGATCAGCAACACCTGGTCAGAAGGTCAGTAACACGTGGTCAGCAGGTCAGTAACACGTGGTCAGCAGGTCAGTAACACGTGGTCAGCAGGTCGGTAATACTTTATCAAAAGGCCAGTAACACTTGGTCAGCAGGTCAGTAACACATGGTCAGCAGGTCAGTAACACGTGGTCAGCAGGTCGGTAATACTTTGTCAGAAGGTCAGTAACACGTGGTCAACAGATCAGCAACACCTGGTCAGCAGGTCAGTAACACGTGGTCAGCAGGTCGGTAATACTTTGTCAGAAGGTCAGTAACACGTGGTCAGCAGATCAGCAACACCTGGTCAGCAGGTCAGTAACACGTGGTCAGCAGGTCGGTAATACTTTGTCAGTAGGCCAGTAACACTTGGTCAGCAGGTCAGTAACACATGGTCAGCAGGTCAGTAACACGTGGTCAGCAGGTCGGTAATACTTTGTCAGAAGGTCAGTAACACCTGGTCAGCAGATCAGCAACACCTGGTCAGAAGGTCAGTAACACGTGGTCAGCAGGTCAGTAACACGTGGTCAGCAGGTCAGTAATACTTTGTCAGAAGGTCAGTAACAGGTGGTCAGCAGGTCAGTAACACATGGTCAGCAGGTCAGTAACACCTGGTCAGCAGGTCAGTAACACGTGGTCAGCAGGTCGGTAATACTTTGTCAGAAGGTCAGTAACACGTGGTCAGCAGATCAGCAACACCTGGTCAGCAGGTCGGTAATACTTTGTCAGAAGGTCAGTAACACGTGGTCAGCAGGTCGGTTATACTTTGTCAGAAGGTCAGTAACACGTGGTCAGCAGGACAGAAACGTGTGGTCAGCTGGTAAGTAACACGTGGTCAGCAGGTCGGTAATACTTTCTTAGAAGGTCAGTAACACGTGGTCAGCAGGTCGTTAATACTTTCTCAGAAGGTCAGTAACACTCGGTCAGCATGTTAGTAACAGGTGGTCAGCAGGTCAGTAACAGGTGGTCAGCAGGTAAGTAACACGTGGTCAGAAGGTCAGTAACACGTGGTCAGAAAGTCAGTAACAGGTGGTCAGCAGGTCAGTAGCACTTGGTCAGCAGGTTAGAAACACGTGGTCAGCAGGTCGGTAATACTTTGTCAGAAGGTCAGTAACAGGTGGTCAGCAGGTAAATAACACGTGGTTAGGAGGTCAGTAACACGTGGTCAGCAGTTCAGTAACACTTGGTCAGCAGGACAGTAACACGTGATCAACAGGTCAGTAGCTCGTGGTCAGCAGGTCAGTAACGCGTGGTCAGCAGATCAGTAACACATGGTCAGCAGGACAGTAACATGTGGTCAGCAGATCAGTAACACGTGGTCAGCAGATCAGCAACATCTGGTCAGCAGGTTAGTAACACCTGGTAAGCAGGTCAGTAACACGTGGTCAGCAGATCAGTAACACGTGGTCAGCAGATTAGCAACACGTGGTCAGCAGGTCAATAACACATGGTCAGCAGGACAGTAACATGTGGTCAGCAGATCAGTAGCACGTGGTCAGCAGATCAGTAACATCTGGTCAGCAGGTCAGTAACACCTGGTCAACAGGTCAGTAACACTTGGTCAGCAGGTCGGTAATACCTGGTCAGCAGGTCAGTAACATCTGGTCAGCAGGTCAGCAACTTCTGGTCAGCAGGTCAGTAACATGTGGTCAGCAGGTCAGTAACACGTGGTCAGCAGGACAGTAACACGTGGTCAGCAGATCAGCAACACCTGGTCAGCAGGTCAGTAACACCTGGTCAGCAGGTCAGTAACACCTGGTCAGCAGGTCAGTAACACTTGGTCAGCAGATCAGCAACATCTGGTCAGCAGGTCAGCAACATCTGGTCAGCAGGTCAGTAACATGTGGTCAGCAGGTCAGTAACACGTGGTCAGCAGGACAGTAACACGTGGTCAGCAGGTCATTAACGCGTAGTCAGCAGGTCAGTAACGCGTGGTCAGCAGGTCAGTAACACGTGGTCAGCAGGTCCGTAACACCTGGTCAGCAGGTCAGTAACACGTGGTTAGGAGGTCGGGAACACGTGGTCAGCAGATATTCCATAGTTCCTCCCCCACTGGCCGGCTTAACACAAGGTGATATCATATAACTATATACAGCCATATATCAGGTTCCTAGTCATTATGAGAGGAACTACGTTTGCATCGTCAACATATTCTATCCCCTTGATAAATCTAAAATATCGTCAAAATTGACCTGCCTTCTGGGATTTGTATCGAGATTAGATAGCTTCAGCTGCAAACCCAGACATGTTTTTAATTAAAATTATGTTCCTGACTTTTTTTAAAAGAAAAAAATCACCTTGCAACAATGTCATTTTTGTGGCAGGCAATTTGTTTGGCTTTTTCCAGAGGTCTGTAGTATAGTTATTTTTGTCAAGAATGTTCAGGGACAATCTATTTTTCCATAAAATCCCAACCACCACCATCAACGTCGGTTTGTTGTTTTACGCCGCATCCAGCAATAGTCCAGCTACACGACGACAGTCTGTAAATATTGAAGTCTGGGCCAGACAATCCAGTGACTGAAATCGCGAGAATCGATCTACGCAATTGGGATACGGTGACATGCATCGATCAACTCTGACCCTTGCAGCACTGTGCCCTTCGTCGCATCTTACAACAAGCATGGGTTGCGGAAGACAAATTGTGCAACTATATACAATGTGCAGGGCAACTTATATTTAACTATTTGATAACGTCAGTGATAATTTAGCTGAGGGCCTGACTGTCTGATACATAAGTTATGACTAAATATATACATAAGAGCTAAGGCAGGCAGTATTAGATTATCTTCAGACAAAAAAAGGATACACTTGACACCAACAATGATCTTCGTGTAAAATACATCTCCAAAGAATAAACATTTCCTGTTTGTAAACTGTTTTTGGTATATTATGACCTTGACATTAAAACAAATACAAACGTAAGCGTCCCGTGACGATCCGGGGTAGAATAGGTCTTCAGCAACCCATGCTTGCCGTACCAGGCGACTATGCTTGTCGTAAAAGGCGACTAACGGGATCGGGTGGTCAGGCTCGCTGATTAAGTTGATGCATGTCGTCGTATCCCAATTGCGTGGATCGATGCTCATGATTTGAATAACTGGATTGTCTGGTCCAGACTCGATTATTTACAGACTGCCGTCATACAGATGAAATATTGCTGAGTGCGGCGTTAAACAACAAACAAACAAACAACAAACGTAAACTGTGTCTGAAACTCAGCAGAGTAAACTGAGAGGCTTAAGGGCCCAAACATTTTTGCAGAAGCAGGAGGCATACTCTTGCAATAAAATTACATAACACAACCAGTCAACCAGAAGCTTTTACTGCCATCGCACCGAGTTCCCAGAGACTCTGTGGCGATAGATGAAGCCGTGTGGCGATAGATGAAGCCGTGTTGTGATAGATGAAGCAAGATAAATACCGTGCTAGGTTACGACTTGTGACAAAGATTTCTCATGCATATATTTTGGCATTAATCATCGCGTCCGAGCCTTAAAATCGAGGCGTCGAATGCTTCGATGTCATTTCACTTCCATTACACGATCGCACGAAAACATGGAAACAGTAACTTAGGTGTGGGTTTGACAATTTTGAAAAATATGGTGTTGATTCTTTTTATTACTTTATTTATTTATTTACGATTTGCTTGAAACGTCTTTATATTGCTCTTTGACATGTTCGATGTTGACCCCTTGTCGAAGCAAGTGCCGCTGATTATATCCTTTTCAATAATATTGCGGGAAAAGGTTCATAATATTAAATCTATTGATACATTATGATAAATTGAAAAGAAATACGCATGTTCTAACTTTGTGAAAAGTAATAGATTTAAATAATTAATTATTTGAAACTAAATATTATTTTGACGTGGCTACGGTGTGGTGTTGAAAGAGATAACAAGCGGAGTACTTTGACGCTTGGCCCTGTTTCACCAAGCAGTCTCAGTGTTGTGATTTATTTACCATTTTTACAGCTTAAAATAATCTGCTGATTTTTTTAATCTATCAGCCCGAGAACAAATATGTCGGCCTCGGGCCTACGGGCCGATGTCTATTTCGAACACTGAACGTAAGTCCTAAACACAAATACCCGTATCAAGTACATCACCATCGAATATCATTTCTTGTTTGTTTCAGCAGCCACCATCAAACAGGGATGTATTTTTCTTTTGCTTGGCAGTTGAAACAAGCGCTAAGGCATTGTACTTGATTTCCACGTACTTCCTGCGATTTTCGAAGTAGTAAACACGCCTATCCTTCATAACAGACGATCTCAGCGGTAGTTTCAACTTCCGACAATCCTCCCCACGCATATCGGCAAATTCTGACCGACGCTATCCCTATACCAATCAGAAGGGTTCTCCCAGTGATACTGACAACTTTATAAGTGACGATTTACGATCAATAGGATCAAGAGTCGTGGGTCACGGTGTAGTGTCCGCGCGTCCGTGTCTGCACACCAGGTAAACCAATCAGTGACCGCGGCCAGGTGTGCATTGAAATTCCTTACGGGCATATAAACCCAGAAATTCTATATCTGCAAGCACTGGTAACTGTTGGCAAGAAGAGAAACATTGTGTACTGTGAAACGAGCTGTCAGTCAAGAGTGAGAGGCAAGTCGCATGCAACACGCGCACGTGGGTTGGGCACAGAACAGAACAAAACTGGCGGCTTCCAGCGCGGTTCTGTCTTTTCACCACCCCGCGAGCAACATGATTAGGGGCCAGCAGAACACGCTCGTGTTGACCGCCGTATTCCTTGGGACCCTAGCCTTGGCCACCGCCTTTTCCCTGGAGCCATTTGCAGGTAAGTGACTTTTGTGCACCTTTGTTTCCTTTGAGTGTACAAGATCGTTATACTATCGTTTAGCTTTCGTCCGAGTCTCTCAACGCGCACGCCACACACATATTTCTACGTGTGTAAATTTTTAGAGCTGAATGTCATTTGAAATAGGTTATTGAGATAGTTTTACAGGTAAACGCCGGGAACAGCATCTTTGTTTAACGGTGGCTCAAATGAAACAAACAAAAAATGTTATTCGATGGTGCTGTATTCGTATCCTACTTGTGTTTTGGACCTTGAGTTTGCAGAGTTTGCGAGCCTGTTTTCGGCCTCGTCACGTTTTGATAACGTTTGTAATTTGTTGTTCAAATCCAGTTTTCACATGCTTTCTTTTGCCCGGCAGTTTATATATATAAGTGTTCAGGCTTATAGCCAATCAATTACAGCACTGTTTTATTTACAAAAAGCTGTATCTGCGCTTGTCTCTCGGACCCTTTCCGACCTGAATCGTTAGTTGATTATCAGACGGAATTAAGATTATCGAACTTAAAAGGTCTTTTGAAAAGGCCAATAAGCTGATGAGATTGGACCCTAATATTTAATTTCTACATGGTGGAAAGTATATGACTATATTCATAAAATAAAAGTTGATGGAAATATTCACAGATTGCTAGTAAACTTTAATCCATCGAAATTCATGCATGTTTTATGAATAAATTTGTTTAAATTCCCCGGGACATTTATACGTTTGCTTTGCTGGTGAATTTGATTAGACGATTCGGTTCAGCAAATGACGCAGTAATGACTCGACGGCACAAGTCAATGTCTAGAGTTGCGTCCCTTAGGGGCGCCAGGATCCTATAGTTGTGCGTTCCACATTAAGCTGAGAACCTCTGATACAAATGAATTTCTGCTCAAAGTGGCTTTAAGCCAAACTCTCTCCCCTCCTCTGACCCGGAAGTGGTAAACCTTCTTAGACGCGGAAGCTTAAACAATTAACCTATTATTGATATGTATCATGTCCCAATATTTGAAAAAGATGTCATTCAGTATCTTTTATGCGTTAATATTAATATTTATCAAAGAAGTTGTCTGGTAAACATCACCCACTGCATTATGACTTAAGTATTCAAGAATGACGTCATGTATCAAGGAAGTGTATAAATATAGAATACTAAACGAGCTCTCGTGTAATACCAATTTTATGAAACGAGTGACAACTATTCAAGAGTTTCATAAAATTGGTTTTAAACGGGAGCGAGTTTAGTATTTTATTTATTACTTGCCATTTATAACGTTTTTGATCGGCTGACACCTACACGGTAAGTCCAATTGAGTTTAACAGAATAATACCTCAAACACGTCAAAAGTTGAACTAAGACTATCGCAACTCACATACTTTAACTTAGACTAACGAATGTCGTTGCGCTACAATACGATCGCCTTGTGGAGCGGGTCTTGCACCTCAAAGTTTACAAAAACGTCACAATACCCGATGACGTAATTTGTGGAGTTTTGTTGCAAGATCCATCGGCGAAACAATGCCATGTGACGTCAGCCTAGCAAGGTTGCTGGGGTCATCGAGTGTGCATAAGCTCCTCTCAGTGATCTATCAACTCCACACGCTATGTCGTTGAATAAGCCAAGGGATGTTGTGAGCTTTCAATATTTGTTCGTGAAACGTGTTCCGAGAGTACATCAGCACGCGTTTTGGTATTACACAATGTGTAATACAGCTGAATGTTTATTAAACGGGTGATCTCTTCACGGGCAAATAATAAAGAATATTGCTTATAACCTTCTGTATTTATTTTAACATTACGCGTTTTTGGTATTTGCGGGTGTTATTGAGTAGTTTGACACGCGGACATACAATAAACTACGGTTATAACGAACTCAAAGGGACCACTAATTTTAGTTCGTCATAACCGGAGTTCGTTATAAGCATATATACAGCATAACGACAGCAAATAGTCGGGACAAAAAAGTAGGTTCGTTATATCCGTCAGTTCGTTATAAGCGTGTTCGTTATAAACGTAGTTTACTGTATTGCTTTTTGAAACCTTCGCCTTCCGCAGTTGGTTTAGAATGAAAATACCGAGTAGTGATTTATCAATAATACCCGCAAATCTGATAGCACGTCATGGTTATCTCCCTAATTTACAACAGCGACTCGTTTGTGCCTTTATTTCTCGCTACTACAGAAGTCGACCCTACTTCCCAATGATTTATATAACTGGCTGAGTTGTCGATAGGTCAATGTGACTGATTCTTCCCTCAACTGTTTGTTATCCCGACGGTGGAGATAACGTTCATAAAAAGAGACTCACGCCCCTTTCGCATTCTCGCACTTTTGGGGGGCTCGGGTGGCCCAGTCGTCTAAAGCGCCGCGATTCGCTGTGCAGAGTTGCGTCCCTTGGGCACGCCAGAAACCTATGATTGTGGGTTCGAATCCCGGTTCGCCCCGATAATGTTTCTAGGTTTGTCAGCACCATACCCGTGCTCGTGGGTTTCAACAAAGTGGTAAACGTCTGAGACCTGCATCACTCGCACTTTTGGTACATTTAGCTCGTTTCCGAAGGTCGAGTTCGCGAGAATGCGAGATCCCGAGAATGACCCTTGCAGTATTGCATACATATCCCCTTCTTTATAATATAAACACGACCACAAAACATCAGTGGAAATACACTACCGGGCAAAAGAAAATATACACCCATGTTGGATGGTGGCTCAAAAATTAAACAAACAAGACATACGTACACTCCGAGTGAGTGAATGAGTATGGTTTTACGCCGCTTTTAGCAATATTCCAGCAATATCACGGCGGGGACACCAGAAATGGGCTTCACACATTGTACCCATGTCGGGAATCGAACCCAGGTCTTCGGCGTGACGAGCTAACGCTTGTACCACAAGGCTACCCGACCGCCCACATATACTCCGAAACGTTGTACTTCCTCAGAATGAGGAAGTTGAAATCCATTTATCCTATTCCTTATGTGTATCACTTCCAAATGCCTTTCAAAGACTTCATAACAATTTGCTAAAAAAAAGTGCTTGTTTGGCTGTAACCATGGTGTCTGCTTCTTCTAAGGACGAGATGGACGAAAACGTTGTACTTCCTCAGAATGAGGAAGTTGAAATCCATTAATCCTATTCCTTATGTGTATCACTTCCAAATGCCTTTCAAAGACTTCATAACAATTTGCTAAAAAAAAGTGCTTGTTTGGCTGTAACCATGGTGTCTGCTTCTTCTAAGGACGAGATGGACGAAAACGTTGTACTTCCTCAGAATGAGGAAGTTGAAATCCATTAATCCTATTCCTTATGTGTATCACTTCCAAATGCCTTTCAAAGACTTCATAACAATTTGCTAAAAAAAAGTGCTTGTTTGGCTGTAACCATGGTGTCTGCTTCTTCTAAGGACGAGATGGACGAAAACGTTGTACTTCCTCAGAATGAGGAAGTTGAAATCCATTAATCCTCTTCCTTATGTGTATCACTTATAAATGCCTTTCAAAGACTTTATAACAATTTGCATCTGGGTGGTCATCCATCGCTGTGGTCAGTGGCTGTGACATTTAGTAGCCACACGACGACCAGACACACGTGATAATTAAGGGCAATGCGATGTGGTATCTGTGTTTGAGGTCGGTCTGTGTAATAACCTTTATGTATAACTCAGTTAGCTTGCGTACAGCTCTGAGACCTGTTGGCACCAGATCCGCTTTTCCTACACACCTGTGTGTTAATAACCCATTTGCGATAGCGGGTACCAAGCATGAGTGAGATAGAGTTCCCTGTGTGTGATTGGCTACTCCATGGTGATGACCTAAGGTCAGATTATGCGGACTTCATTCCTGATTGTAATCATGCTTTAGTCGAATTCATACGTATGAGACGGAACATTTTGGTTTTAGAGTGTTTAGTCAATGTTCTTTGAGCCTATCTTGTTTGCATCATCATCATCATCATCATCATCATCATCATCGTCGTCATCATCATCATCAGGGGCGGTCGGATAGCCTAGTTGTTAAATCGTTCGCTCGTCACGCCGAAGACCCGGGTTCAATTCCCGACATGGGCACAATGTGTGAAGCCCATTTGTGGTGTCCCCCGACGTGATATTGCTGGAATATTGCTAAAAGCGGCGTAAAACCATACTCACACACTCACTCACTCACTCACTCACTCATCATCATCATCGCTTTGATAATCCACAGATGTAACTGATTTTGTTTTTGCGGAGGGTCACACTAGGTACGAGTAGTAAGCAGTAATTCGGATGACGTCATTGATGTCCGTTGTGTTGATGCGCCACTGCGATCATGAGAATAGACGAATGCTCAAATGGTGTACTTTTAGCAATGCCTGAGGAACATGATTGTAAGATACCATTTATCGCTTTTGCCGGCTACATTCGTTATGAAACAACTCGTTGGTAGATAAATGGTCTATAACAGGCACGAATACAGTATTTTCTGTGTCAATCACAGATGACCTGTACAGAACCTCGTTAATACAGACACTCCGTCTGGATAAACGGGTTAGCGACCCATCAACACGTCAATATCAAAGACGAGATTCCTTTGCTCTGTTCACCCAGCAGTGAGTGGGTACCCGGTAGGATGAGATGGTAATGCAGTTGTTAACCTTCTAGCGCCTCACAGGCAGCTTGGGTTGTATATCCCCAGGGAGCTGAGAATGAAAATCGAGTGCGCACTGAACCATTGACCGGGGTAATAATGTCAGCGCCATGACCACACGAGCTGGTATGGAGTTTAGCGCCATACAAATGGACTCATTATTATTATTATTATTTGCAATTTCTTACCCAAGCCGTGGACGTGAAGGCTGTCCTGGCGGAAGTCCCGGGTTCGATTCCGTCTTGGGTACAATTTGTGGAGCCCATTTCTGTTGTAACATCGTCACGATATGGCTGAAATATTGCCGATGTGACGTAAAGCTTTAACTCACTCACTCACTCACTCTGTTGTAACATGGCTGAAGTACTGCAAAACGCG